AAACACTGCTCCAAGTACTGAAATTTAGCTTAAATAAAGAGCTGCACTGCAATTCCGATTATGCGCGGGTGATGGGGGTTTAATGGATATGGGCATTTCACAGAGAGCGGGCGCACTGCGCGTTACTGTGCTCGTGGCAATTACCCCTTTTTCTTTTTAAGCAGCACATAAAATAGTCACATAAAGCTTGTGTAAATGTCGCGCGGGAAAGTTAGGACTCTTTGCAGCAACTGTGTCTTATCTGCTGCTGTTCTTGGAAAAGCCTCATCTCCTCCCTGCTACGGGTAGCGATGGCACTTGCGGTGCCCCGCTCGCTCGGATGCATCACCTTCATGGAAAATAAAGAAGAGAACAAGCAGGCGACGGGGAATGACAGGCCTCAGTAAAGTTTATAACTAGAGCTTGAAGGTTGCCACATGGCCACAAAGTAAAAGTAGCGAATTCTATTAAAGAATCAAGCCTTTCTATCCATTAATTAGTTGAAATAAAGTCACCATTTACCACCTGCTTCATTATTCTTTTTCTCATCTGGCAACGAGGCTTTTATTCAGTCACTTCGATCAAAGGCTGCCAAAGTGCCTTTATCTAGGCACTTCAGATAAAGCCGTTAGCAGAACAGCCACCCCCAAATACCTGATATTGCCTGGCCAGTGCCGGCGACCCACGCAGCCGGAGGAGCTGTGGGGGGGACCCTGTGCCACAGGGGGGACCCTGTGCCATGGGGGCTGTGCGTGCTCCCGGGGGCAAGCTCCCACTACCCACCCCAACAAAGAGCGCCAGGAGCTTGTGGGATCCTGAGCAATTAGAGAATTTGGGTATGGTTTTTTTTCCAGCAGCTATGGAGCCAGGGCATGGCAGCAACAGATAGGGGGTGGCAGCTTAAGGGCTGAAGTTTTAGGGGTAAAGAGTTTGGATGCGCAGATTCTTTCTGTATCCGGACTCCTCCCCACCATTTTTGGGTAGTTTCTGTATTAACCATTTGTTACTGGTTACAACAGCAAAGCACAAAGCAGTTCCCATCCCATACCTCTGGCAGAACACGCTTGGGGCAATACCACAATTTCTCGATTACTGTACGCCTTTTGGTGTAAAGGGAATGTAACTGCATCTTACCAGGACAGGGCTGGTGTCAACAGGCGTGCAATTGGTAACGAATGGCCCTGCCCCATGGAGGGACCACGCACAGCAAGGATGAGATGGTCAGGTCTGAATGAGTGCCTGGATGAAGGGGACAACGAGAGGCGAACCTTGCGCACGACAGGGCAACCTTCCCTTTTTTTATAGGCCGGAGAATATTCCCTTCCCCTCTCCCACCCCTCTTCCTCCTGCATCCATGTCCTCTGGATAGCTTTTGACAAAACGAGAGGAAAAGGTCACAGCAGTTAACGTCCTCCTCAATATGATCCGTGTTTGAAGCAATGCACTTTTAGAAATTCTGAAATTAATTACCTCAACTTTGGATCCCCTAGCTTAAAATCCTGTGTCACGTCAAAAACTATGGCTACAGTAGCCATCCTACAACAGGCTTCTTGGCTATGCTTGGCTCAATGAAGACCTGAAGGTTTCTGCTCACAAGAAAACATTTAAAATATGTTTAAAACACGCTGAAAATACTGTTTTACTGAAAGTTACTGCTATGATAAGAAGTGTATCTGCAGCTAAAAGCCTGAAGACCTCTAAGGTCTTGATAAAGAAATGCTGAGCTCCCAGAGGGTTCCTCTGAAGGTCAGTGTGACAGAAACAACCGGAGACAAAGGGAGGGAAGACAGCTTGCCTTGACATAGCGGCAAGGTCTGGAGAAAAACTCCAAGCCCATCTGCACAGTTCCCTGCTGCAGGTTGTATGCTTGCCTATTTAAAATTAAATGACATTTAGCTAAAATCTGTACCGAGTCCATTACAGCATCCACTTCCACGGGTGCCTGCCGCCCTGGTGAAAGCAGGGGCTCTGCACGCCGGAGGCTTGTGCCTGCTGGGCTCCGGGCACACCAGGTTCCCCTCTACAACCTGCAAAAACCTCAGTCTGAAGATCTGTATCTTGTTCCTCAAATTGCCTCTTACCCACAGGTACAGCACGTTCCTAAAACATTATCCAGCGGCCTGTCTTATCTAGGTATCCTTTACATGGAGCATTAATGCTTTGGAGGGAGGAGGAAGGAAAGAGAATCGGATCTCTCTTCAGTGTTAACAACAAGGAAATATTTCCAGAGTTGTACATATTTCAAGTTAGCGCCACAACACCAAAATGTGCCCTTCTTCCAACTATACTGAAACCCACAAGCTATAAGGACTTACAACATATTCTGAAACGTACGCTCAGCCCATAAAACACACCTCTGTAGATGCGCTAGAGTCCACCGTACCAGACCACCCAGTAAATTCAATTTTGCAACCATGAAGCCGGGGCTGTATTTGACCACCACCACCCCCTCGTTGATTACAGTAAAAAGAGCAACAGAAAACGCATGAGTAGCATAACAACGATGTTAAAACTACATACCAGTATATCCAGGCAGGCTGCTTTAAGTAGAGTTATCTGGTCTGCAATGGTCAAACTTGTAAAGCCTGGCAATCGCTTTGCAAATTCCACTATTTTAATAATGCACTTTGTTGCAAGTTCACTGAATTTGTCCCAAAGCCCGAGGTCCAGTCGAACCCGATGGTCTGCGCTGGAGTTCTGGAAAGACAGGCAGAAAGCACCATAAATCAACAACGTCCCTTTCAGTAAATGGCTTTCAAGGGAAAGAAACAACAACTGAGTAGCCCTTCCAGAAGTGCTTTCTATTAACATTCCAGGCATTTTCTGCAGCTTGCTGTTGGGATGATGCTGGTTTTAAACTTGGATTAATCGCCTGAAAATTCCTTGGATATTTCTCTGTTACTTACGATTGCAGAGGCCATCTGTACAAGGAATACAAATGAACTTAAACATTTCCAAATGCCACCATCATTATTCTTCCTTGCCGTTATATAATAAGCGCATTGAGGGAGACAATTTATAGTTGTACCCCAGAAAATATAAATGAACAGTGGAACAAGAATATCAGGTCCTCATCTGGAAAAAGCAGCACAGTATTTGGAACACGGTTTCACATACTTAAGGTCTTAGCTAATTAGTTCTACTTAATTTATCTGCTCTGTGGTTCTGCAAGAGTTTTACAGCTTTCTCGAGCTACAGTCTCCCACGAATTAAAGAGCGTTTCTTTACACGACGTTAGGAAAAACACCGTGTGCACTGATGAATGCAGTGTGCTCATCTGACGGTGCATCCAACACAGACCCTATTGTTTGAAGTGTTACAAGGACATTCAAGCTGCATCTTTCGGAGGCTGTTTCCATATATTCACGTATCTTAATCCAAAAGTCTGTAATTTGCTAGGATGCGTAGCAAATCTGTGTTAAGTTTGTGATTGAACTCATGTTTTCATATATTCAGAATAACCACTTCACCCTTGCAAAAGTTAAACGTGTCAGCCAAGAAGCAGCCAACTCCAAAGTTACTGTAGTCTATTTGACACTAGACCAACAGAAGCTGGGGGCATGGGGAGACCCAGCGAGTCATTTCCAACCCACCCGTAATTCCCGTGGGGTGACAAGAAACAGGTAACGACGGAGCTCTGAATTACCCGAGGCTCCCCTCCTCCTTCCCCAGCATGCAGCATGTTCCCATTTTGCCAGCGTTTGATCCAATGCCATTTGGGATGCAGCCAGTGCAATGGTGTCCCCCCACCACTATTTCCTGAGCCACCCAATTTAGTGCGCGTTGCAGCTGCCTTCAGCATCTTGGTGATCTCCTCTTCATTGCAAGATGAATTTTACCTGTAAAAACATGCCGGTTCCAAATTTGCAAGTGGTGCTGAGCTGCAACCACTGGAAAACCAAAAGCAGAGTTTCTCTCTTCCATGTCTCACCTGAGCTTGTTGACTAACCAAGAAAGAGAGAGGCATCTCCAAAAAAAAGGCCCACCTGCTTCAGATAGGTACTTAAGGCAGGTAAGGGAAAATCCCCCTCAGGTGGTGGCTTTCTCCTCAGCTGCAAGGGAAGCCCCTGTGATTACCTGCCTTAGTCTTAGCTGGTTGAAGTTAAAATGTTAAATTAACTTCACAAGTAAAGTTAAATGAGTTAAATGAAAGGAGTCTCAACCTAAAAGTCTAACAGACATGGCAGATAAGTGGCCACCAAAAAGCACTCCATTTGCACAGATGACACTTTCTTGGAGGAAACATCTCTAGCGACCCTGCTGATGATGAGGACGTCCACCCTCTTGAAAATGTCTGAAGCCATCAGCTTTCTTTGGTTCATGGGAAGGACACCAGGCCTGAAGAGGTCGACGAGGAGATGTAGGGTGAGCTCAGCTTGGCTGTGATGCTCCGTCACCCCTTCCCGGGGCTCCCTTAGCAGATGCCACAACCACCACCAGTCATGAAGGGGCAAGTCCTGGCAGATCATCAGCACGCCGCCCGCCCACCAGTCACCCTCACTTGCAACAGGGTGGAGATTCGAGCCGGCAATATTTATATTAGGTCCTTATTACAAAAAGTAAATGCTAACCACACTGAACAGTTTGAAGGTGCATACGTCCTCTTACCTGCACCCCCTCTTTTTAAGGGATAAGAAATCAACTTCATCATTTCTATCTGAATTTTTATTCTGGAAACTTCCCCTATTTTGCTTTGGTTTTTTAAATGACAGAAAAGATAGGAGAAAATGTCTTTATAATCCTAAACCTAAAGAATTGCCTTCAAAATGGTCCAAAACTAATGGGTTAACAGTCATTGTAATGCCCTTTGAAACATTTCTTTCGGCTACTGGAGTATGCATCCTTCAGATTTATTTTATTTCATCCTCAAGGACCTTGGTGAAATACAGTACATTGGAGAAAAAATAAGATCAAGATGTGCAGTCATTCAGACTGTAATTAAATTTAATAGGCAGTTTATCCAGTTCATAGAAAGATGGCATAGCGGAGAGCTACACAAAGCAGAGCCTAAAGCAGGAAATCATTTTACAATAGGGTATCCATCTGGAAAAAAAGACGTTGCATGAAACCAGCAAGTGTGAACGAAATCTTCATCAGTATCATATGAGGTTACTTTATCATGCTGCAGTACCGGCAACGGGAAGTTTGACATGTCTTCTATTAAGAGTAATGCATGGCCGTCTTAACAAATGTAAATCTAACTCACTATTATGCAAACCGAAGCGAAGGGGCAGTTAATAAAATACAAAATAACCGGGTGCTTTATTACGCCGGGTGCCAGATTCCTCAGCGTTGGAGCTAATGTGGTTTACACATTATCTTCGAGATGCTACAAATGGAAAGACTTTTAACATTTTATTTAGTAACGAATGGGGTTGGAAGCGTCATGGAAAATAGCCAGATTTTTAGCAGCATTTCTGAATATGTAAAACCGAAACTGACTCGGTATCAATGTATAGGTTGAACAGTAAAATACAGGGGTTAATAAAATGGTGTTAGAAACAGAAACTCTGATTAAATTTGCCTGGGGATCTCCTCTAACCATGCTGTGAAAAAGATGCAGACGCTATGACTTTTCCTGAATATTTTACTGAAGCAGTTTTTTGGGTGTCTTTTCCAGGAGCAGCCTTGCATGTTTTTCAGGCCTTTGCACCAGCGCACATATGGTGGAACAATGCTGTAATACACCCTAGTGGCATCTTTATCAGTAGAAAAGCCCAACCTTGCTATGAAATCCAATTAAACAGCCATTTTTGCCACATAAATTGATCCCATTTTTTCCATCATTTTTGTTTTTTCATTGCAGGCTGCTCTCTCTCCACATTAACGATACGGGACGAGGTACTCACAGAAACGTACACAGTAGCAGAATCCCTACCGTCTTTAAAATCCACTTTACAGAGGAAACAAGGCTCACAGGGGCACTCTGCCCTAATCAGGAACACTTGCTATGCCTCTTTAGTAAAAAGCAGCAACGCACTCCAGCTCCGGCGAGCTCACCGAGGACCAGAGCATACGTCTCTGCTCTGTCCCAGCATCAGGAAATAGATAGATACAGATATAAAGATATAGATACATATTCCTCTGCAATGGCACAGAACAATAGCAGTGTAACTTCTAAGCCCAGCAATTACAAAGGACAAAACGCCGCTGAGATGTAAAACCTCTCTGCTTCCAGCCAGCCAAGAGCAACCTGGGAGAACCTGCAGCAAGGGTCCACAGAGTCAAAATTATTTTCTGTTTTATCCTCCCTTTATCACGAGGTGGGATGTAACACAGCTGTAGACTTACAAATAATACCAGTCTCGAGGGACAAGCAGTATAGTTACACTCAATTATACTATAAAGTATGACATCTCCAGAGAAATTACTAAGGCACTCTCTCTTACCTGGATGACAGTAATAAAACAGATCTATTTATGATGGACTTTTGAAATCCATTACGTTTAAACAGCTTGCTGATTCTCATCATCGGCAGAACTGTACTTGCCACTGCCCACCAAATGCAACTGTTAAGTCAAATGACCCAGGGAATTTAATACGAGTGCTATTCTCCCATTATTTTAAGTAGACTTTTATTAACTATGCAAAGTATGGTAATTATTACAGATAGGGACACTTTTTCTTTTTAAAGAGCAGATGGATATAAAAAGAACATAATTGAAAATGCTTCTCCAAAACCGTTTTTGAACAGGTAAAAATACACGGGGGGTGTGTGTGTGTGGGGAAATCACCATGTAACCTTTCCCTCTGGGAAATGCAGGCTGCAGCGCTCAAGAGCGAGAGGAACCAGGTACACAAGCCAAATGTCTTAACAGACCTCTGCAAGGTCTTTCTTATTCCACTCTCTTATACTTCAAATTCTTTGCTCTTTCTCACAACAAAATAAAATGATGTTTTAAAGCCATCTGAACGATCACGTCACCGAAGGCGCAGAGAGGCCACGCTTGCAGCAGTTCCTTCCATCCACTGTTTCTATCAGCACGCAAGCGCAAAGCTCATGAAATTCAAGTGAATCCACATCGATTCAGTACACTCACTTCTCACCTCTCGCTTAAAGAATTAAGTAAAAACACTCTAAGGTTACAAAAGCAATCTCTGTGCTCTGCAGTGTCAGCGTGCCATGCTTCATGACTGCTAGCCTGTAGAACCGGGCATAAAAGCAGGACTGGTGGCAATCTTCTACCCGTATAGGCTTGTTACTGTCAAGAAAAGCAGAGTGGCGTAGGCTTCTAGCTCCCCTTGGACTCAGCATCTAGAAAAAGGGCTGTGTGCTCCTATGGTTTTTTGACTTCTGGTCTTTATTTCAAGTGTCTCAAAAGGAAGGATTATTGCCTGAGCCCCGCCGTTTGATCAGCAGCTGGTGGTGGTGTCCAAGCCCCGAAGCTGTGCTCCTCCGACCAGCACGCACACCTTTCGCCTCCTGCATCCCCCTGGATCCTCTGCTGCCGCAGAAAGGCTTCTCCCCCGCTCCTGGGCTGACAGGCAGCTGGAGATGAAGATGACCCGTACCTCAGCCCCAGCGGTACTGAGGAATATTCTTAATCCCAGAGGTTTTCACCGGGTGCAAGCAATGGGGGGGTGCGTGTTCTACTCTGTCCCTTCCGAAGCCGTGCAGAGACAGCATTCACAAAAAAGAGCTCTTACACTGAATTTGTACCTAAAAAGCTGGGGTGGTCACCAGACCTTAGCTAGATGAGGGATTTAAATACTCTGCATTTCACACAGAGACTATGGGAATGCAGCAAGAAGGCGGTATTTAGCACGGCTGCTGTTAGTTTTGACACAGCTGTTGAAGGAAGCTATATCCTTCTCAAGGATTCAAGGTAAGCCGAAAATAACTCTTTCAGTATGATTTTGTTACTGCAATTTGTATAGCACCAAACCATGACAAAGCGGCAGGGACTTCAGCCACGTTCTGTGGACTTCCAACAGACCAATGACAAAACCAAGAAATCTCTCTCCCCAAGCTGCCCGATCTGGCCCGAGATACAAATGACAAATATCCAGCCTCAGAGAGAGTGTGGTCAGGTCATGGTTACTCGGGACCCATAGGCAGACAGGATTCTTCCATTCATTGCTTAGATCCAGGTGCTCTCAGTAAGTGCTCTGGAATTCCAACAATAAACTCACCACGGGGGCCAGCAGGAACCCAAGGATGAAGGCAGCAGTGGTGGGTGGGATATGCAACAAGACCCTCTCCAATTTCATCCACTCGTACAATTTCAAGAGCTAAAATATTAATGACAACCTAAGCATCCAATACATAATGCAAGCACACAGGTGCCCAGGTTTATCTTTCAACCCTCCAGGATCTTTGGCAATCACCAGCACGAAGAAGTACCATCACACCAGCTGCAGTGCACTCTTCCAACTCAGAGGTACCACAAACATACGTACCAAGCGGTTCACGCTGGGAGGTACGCCGATATATTGGTATTCTGGGATAGCCAGGCCGTTTGCAAGGCAGCCTGTGAGCCATAGCTCTGGCAGGCATACCAGCAGCCTGGCTACATGCCCCAGCTGCGGACACGCGATCACCTCTTCTCCAAGGCATAAACTCATTGTTTTGAACTGGGAAGATTTTTTCACACTCGTTCAGAAGCGCGCTCGTGTTTGCAGAAATGTGAGAGCCTGTTTGGAAGATTTTATTCACTCCAAGGCGAGGACGCAACCGCATGTGCTGCAGGGAGGAGTGGAGAGCATTAACCCAGGAATTTCCTTGCAAAGGCACGCTATGGATTCCACCATCTCCAGCTTTGCCTTCGGTTCTGTCATTAGCTGGCTGGTTTCGAGCTTCCAGCTAGTCCCTGGGGGTCTGCCCATGCTTGCCTGCCATACCAGTATTTGCCAGTACGCCTATGCTGACCATTTTGACTACATCTCACCCAAGCAGGGATAGCACCGGAGAAGTTTGCAGAGTGCAGGCACCTTTCCCAGTATGGCACATTTTACATGGGTCTCAAAATTCAATGTGAAAAATGTTTGTGAAAATACCTTCAGCAGCATGAAAAACATGCTTTTTTTTCTAACATCACACCATGTGTGGTTGCTTTTCTTGCATTTAAATACAAAGTCTTACACCTAGACATAAGAGTTTTGAACCTTGCACTTTGTAAATAGATGACTACACCGTAAACCAGTAAATACTGGTGCCACACAGGGATTTGCCTAGCTTACTCTTTGAGAAATGTAATGTTTGTTTCAGTAGCAGAGCATTTACACAAAGCAGAGAGCAATCCAGTGGGCGAGGTATTTCACCTGGCCTCTAAGGCTTGGTCGGAACCATGGAGGACAAGAACCATGGAGATAGGTATCTCCTTGCCCCAGCCATGCTGCTCCTGAACTCCCAGCTTCAGCAGCAAGAACGCATACTTGACTACTTCAGGACCTTCTGGACATCCCTCTAACAGCCAGTGCTGCTACAGCCAACAGCAAGACCAGACCAGCAAAGTCATTCCTCTGCCAGCAGGACTCTAAATGTTACCTAACACTTATTTTTAAGCATCTTTTTTATTACTGCATTTGCAAACTTGACACTAAATTTTCTCTCTGAAATCAATATATATCACTGACCTTCCCTCTATTTAGCAACATATACATGTATAGAAAAGATTTATTTCCCTGACTCATCCTCTGAAGAAATTCCCACTGTACTGAACTTCCTGACTGGGGGCCAATTTTTCATTTCTAAAAGCAGCAAAAGTGTTTGCTGCATTGTGATATTTTGGTAGACTGGGAGATGAATAAACTGCAAATGAGCATTTTGGAAACCGGTTTATTTAGACATTCCGTATTTTCCTTGACCTTGGTAGCTTTGGGACTGTCACCAGTAATCCAGCAGCACTTAAGAACTCTCTACACCTGCAAAGTTGTAATCCACTGACGCACAAGCAGAGATCACATCTTTGGGAGCCAACAAATTTCTAATGAATGATGGCATGTAATTGACTCATTTCTTGGCTGGATTAATCCTTCAGACAGTCTCTCACAATACCGCTAAGTAATGCTTACAGTTAAGTACAATTTCTCTTCTTCAGCATGTATTTGCACGCATACCTGCGTTTTTTCATGACTAAGGAGGTGCAAGGGGTGCATCTACTTCTTCATCGTAAAACATCTGAAGCCTCCAATGCAAAACTCACATCATCCAAGAATGTATGTGTCACAACCCATACTTACTGTAGTGTATTTTCCCAGCTGGCAGAGTGAGGGGAAGGTTTCCTGGTGAGCTTTTCGGATCTTCTCAGTGAGATCATCCAACTCTGCTGTCATTTCATAGTTTTCTGTGGACTCCTGCTTTGAAGGTTCCTTCTTCTTTTTGTTCCTATCATTTCTGACAGCTACAGAAAAAGCAGAGACACAGATCACACGTGGTTATTCAGATGACCCCATGTTGCTCTTGCCGCTCTACTTCAAAACACTGCAAAATGCTTTTATTTTTAGCATAAATTATTTTAAGTGGAGATAAAAATGTTACATGCACAGAGAAAACTAACACAAGCTTAATTACTCATCTGGAAGAATTAAATTTAGCAGGATAATGATGAAACCAAACTTCCATAGGTGCTTGTTGTGGACGTGCCATCACAGTCCTGTAGTATCTACCTTCCAAGAAAGTCTACTGCAACTTCACATGCATTGCAAGTGTCTCAGAAACTTTGTGAGGTGGGATTTTTTCATTGCATCATTACAGCTGTGCATGGTGAATGGCAAAGTCCTCTGTGGTGATGCAGTTGGTATTTTTTTAGATGTGAACAACACTAAAGAAATGGCAACTGTCCCTCTCAAATTTCACAGTATAGAAGATAACAAACCCCATACTAATTCAAACTCCACCAAGCAAAAGTTATTTAAAGGGAAAGTTAAATTTGAAAACAGTAAATGAAAGAAGATGAAACACGTTAAACTCAAGATCTGAAGATCAAAGGAGAAGCACAAGCACTTGAAAGAGTAAAAATGGCAGTGAAGCTATCTAAAATTGCTTGCCATCTGCTCCTGCGCTCAGATCAGCCTTCTACCTTCCCCTGGCCGTGGGGGATTACTGGAAATATGCATTGTGCTGTAATTCATTTCCCACATATTTGTGTTTTGTAATAAAATATGACAGCTGCTCCATCACCATGCTACTCTTTGTTCTCTTAATGAAAATAGCTTAATTTTACAAAATGTGCCCAGGAGATAAGTCTATGTCCGCAGTATTGCCAATACTTGTGAATTTTATCAAGAGGCTTGTTGTTTGCTAAAGCTAACGTCTTAAGCGTAACCAGATGCACAACGCTTTACAACAAAGCTAAACGAAATCAATCTCTCTCCCCAGAGACTCCCTGTCAATATTAAACACCCTGAAGACTAAATGCTGCTGGACAAATAAAAGGCAATCCTAACATTCACCGGTGTTCAAAACCTCATGGTATCTAAACCAGTGGCCCGAACCTTGAGGTTGCAGTTGGTGGGTCTGGCACACGTGAGGATGGCCGGGAATTTTGGACGGCCAAAGATCTGCCGATTCACATTTGTACTGTCCCGCCCCAGAAAGCCCATCTGTCTGTGCCGCAGGGAGGGAAGCACTGCAAAATGGGCAGATGTCCAGAGCCACCTCCACACTAGCTCTTCTCCCCCACGGTTCCCCGGGCCTATCTCCACATCTTCTGTGGTTGCCTTCTACATGCCTGTGAACCACAAATGATTGCAAAGAGCAGACAAACAGTGAATGCTTTAAGGAGCAAGAGGAGCTTTCGACCCAGTCTCACCTACAGCATCTGTTCAAGAACGAATGACACGCAGTTGGATTCATTTTCCTCTGGGTGTCATTTCTGAGAGAAAATTAAGAGTGACATGGGAAAATGGGTGGGAAAGCAGCAGAATCGGGGCACCTATGGAAATAATGGAATACGTGTAACGGAAAACAAGGGGTAGATACAGTGAATATTGTTGCTCCTTTGTGCGGCCATCAGGCACATACTCTGTGTGACGAATGGCTCTGGTTTTCTCACTGAAGGTTTGACTTTGCAGCTGAGAGAACTCTGACCCCAGATAAATATCCAGCAGATGTTTTAAGGATGAACTTGACTTTAACTGTGTGAACAGACCCACGCTGAAGTCAGTTATGTGCTTTGCTGGATCAGGGTTGGGATGCTGAGCACCCCACCAGATTAAAGCCTAACCTTGAACACCATCAATTCTGGTGTCTGGGGTAACAGAGACTCAAAGAAGGCCAAGAAAGTGGACAGAAAAGGTACCTTCTTGTGAAGGTTCAGTGCTACGAGTGTAGTCAGGTTTAGGGGGGATTTGGATCCCCCACTCCATGCCTTTTACAAATACTCCCCTAAAGCCAATGCCCTGATTTGTTTGCTGGACCCCAGGGCAGAGCGCAAGTACAGTCTCTTGCACTGAAAAAAACATCCAGGACCAACACATACGTCTTGAGTGCTCCAAACTGCCACCACACTCCAGAAAGTAAATCCTAATCGCTGCTGTACTTGGGAGATAAAAGAGCTCCTTAGAAAATTATGTAAACTCCTACACAACCACAAAGAGCAATAAGCCTTTGTAATAACGGCCCATTTACTTATAGCTCTACGAGCTGATTGACAAATTTGCCAAACAGGCGGCCTCAGCAACTACTTATCTCAATAGCTTTGAACTCCTCATGGAAGACAAACATGTTATTTAGGCCAGGCTTCAGAGCAGCTGCCAAGAGCTCTCAGAGACAGGAGATAATGCCGGCAGGAACCACACCACCGCTCCCGTGCTACCCCAGCACAGCTCCCTCTGCAGCTGCACCTGAAGTCCCTTCCCCTCCAAAGGCCACCAGAGACACAGCTGCTGGTCAATCCACATCACCAAACTGGCCCAGCTCTGTTCTCTTTCTTTTCGGGCACAAATCAGTGAAGGGTTGGAAGGGGAGAATTAACATGGCCTGAAAACTAGGAGCAGTTGTTGTTCACTGTTACCTTTTTTCTATGATTCCGATAGCTTTTGTAATAATGATAAAACCTGAATAACATTTATCTTCTTGCTTTATGTATACTTTCGATATTTCCTACATCTGTCTTCGCTAAGGCTGCATCAGACACGGCAGTGTTTCTATATTCCCTGTAAGACAACACAATAAAGTGCTGACATATAACACCCAGGCTCCAAAAATATAAAAGAATTTCAATAACGTTGAACTATTATGCAGATTCAACTACAACTATAATTCAACGCAAAAAAAAAAAAAAAGAGAAAAAGATTAAGACAACACTATGTTTAAGAGAGTTAAATAAAAACATATAAACACACGCATTTACCCAGTAAATTTAAAAGCCATCACTGCTCTGGGAACAGGAACTGTCACACCGCACATAGGAAGGGTTTTGGATTACAGTTTATGCTTATATTACATAAATCACACCTTTTTGTATCCTGATCTTTACATGCATATGATCACATCAATCCCCGATGCAATTCCACAGGCTTTTAATGATGATACGCCAGTGATGAATCTGTGTCGCAGTTAATGCCAGCGTAGAAAACTCAGGTTATGAATTTCATTACTTGTGCACTAAATTCTGACTCGATGGCTGCATTATTTAAAAGCTCCCGACAGGGGACAGTATGGAAGCTCTCTTGCCCTGTGAGAAATACTGCAAGTTAAAAAACTAAAAAAAAAAAACCCAACCAACAGATAAGGGCGGGGGGGGGAGAGGATGAAAAGAGGTGTATCTTGGTATGCGAGGAAGCCACGTCTGCGCGAGTCTCGGCGCTGCTGGGACGGCTGAGCCACGCACGCCCACGCCTGAGCACGTCTCCTCTGATCCATCTTCCCGTGACAGCTTCCCTGTCCCCTCGACACACACGCCAGGACTTGCACTTCCACACCCAGAAACCCGCAGGCAGCCGCGGCAGGGTCCATAAGCTAGCAAAGGCACTTTCTGTTGCCTTAGCTTTGAGGACCAGCCCCTACCCGCAAACGTTCATCCCCCTAACCTGATGGCAGAGGGGCTGAACATCATCTCTTGTACCATGCAGTCTGTTCTCCTCACCCCAGGTTTGCCACTGCTTTCCTTAGCCTCAGACACATTTTCCCTCTTCTGCTTGAAGCAATGGGCAAGGCACGAAAGCCGCGGGAGGAAAGGATGCATTTTTCAAGAAAAGCAGGGCCTGCCATAGATGAAACTAAGTATTGGAAAGACACAAACAGCTTCTCTCGGAGGACCCCAGCGCTCTCACTTAGCAACCACGCAGCCATTCTCCTGCTTGAGCGGGATCATTTCAAGCATGTTGTAATGCTGGGAATCGTCCAGTCTTAAACGCAAGCCCCTCAGGTCCACCAGACTTAGTCAACGCTTGGCCTAAGAAGAGTCTGGGATCCAGCCCAAGAGATTTAGGCAGTTTCCAGATAATCAGGTAAAATTATGGAATAGCGAGTGTTTGTAGTCCCCTTTGTCAAAGGTGGCACAAACCTGTCCAGGGGAGAAGAACCTGCAGCTCACAACACGGTATTTCCAATTACTTGCATAACCTTTGCTTCCCCAGATGCCCAGAAGATAGTTAGACAGCACCTTTCATATATTATAATGATTAATCAGCTATAAATTCATGACTTGAATTGCTATCATTGCAGTTTTGCCTCTCGGAGATCCCCATGACCTTTGAAGAGCTTTGTGTACTGGTTAACCGGTTTTGTTCCTGTAGCGACAACTACCAGCGTTTCCAGTCAGTTTGCATTCCAAAAAAACCACACTTCTCTTGTCATTAAATATTTTGGAAGTTACTCGTTAAGCTAACAAATCTCAAAATCACCAAAAAGCACACGGAGCAAGTCAGTAATTGCAGAGTGTTGGGCGTGAGGCAGGCTTTCCAAAAGACTCCTTTTGTTTGCCAACACCAATGAGAAAAGCAACAAGAGGTGAGCTGAGGCAGGATGGCTGCAGCCCAGCCAGCTCTCCCACCCGGGCAGAGGCTTGCTTTCCTGCACCTCGGGAAGCCATCTGTCCCCTGCCAAACCTTAGCAGCCGTGGACAATTTCAGTCAAATAGGCAAAATGCTTACCCATTGCCACTGCCAAGTTTGACCCATTGGGATAAATGCCCCACACATACCACGCTTTGCGTTTCTCCTCATCACCCTTCCATAAACCATGCTCATGGTAACGAATGGCAGTCCGTAAGGACGTCTTTCACAACAGCCACCTTGGAAAACCTTCAACCAAGGGGGACTTAGCACCCCTGATGCTGCT